CACAGCGAGAGAGGGAACACAAGCAGGGGGAGTGGGAGAGGGAGAAGCAGGCTTCCCGCTGAGCAGGGAGCCCGATGCAGGGCTTGATCCCAGGCCCTTGGGATCATGACCTGAGCTGAAGGCAGATGCTTAACGACTGAGCCACCCAGGTGCCTCTCAGCTCAGGTCTTGATCTCAGGATTATGAGTTCGAGCCCCTCATTGGGTTCCACTTAAAAAAAAGGAATCTTGAGTAGATTGGCACACCCTCCTAAGATCTAAAAGGAAACATTTAATCCGGTCTCGCTTTGTTTCCAGACAGAGTCTCCCCTGCTAGTCCGACCATACTTACCACACGTCACCAAGTCTGAACTCCACGCAATCATGACCGCTGGGTTCTCGACCATTGCTGGAAGCGTGTTAGGTGCATACATTTCTTTTGGGGTAAGAATGTTTGAAGATAAATTTATGGAAAATTCAACCTCTTCTTTCTTTGTTGCTGTTATCTCTGTCATTTCTTTACCACTGCTGCTGGATAAGGAGGCCAAAAGAGTGTCCTTCACGCTTCCTTTGGCATTTGAGTGGAGTGACCCTGAGGAGCTTTGTGGCTTCACTTTTAAATCCCTGCCACCTAAATGCGAATGATATCCAACTATGCCAGAATGAAATCATATTATGAGGTTACTTCGGCCAAACATTTAAATATGTAAAACAAACAAACAAACAAACAAAACCCACTATTACAGTCCCTAGTAAAGGCAGACAAGACCCGGGGTCAGCAAAGTATGGCTCATGGGTCAAACTAAACTGCTCCCCCTTTTTGGTAACTACAGTTTTACTGGAAACCAGCTACTTCTATTCATTTCTCTATGGCAGCTTTCATGCTACAGAGTTGGGTAGTTGTGGCCTGAAAAAGCCAAAAATGTTTACTCTCTGGCCCTTCACAGAAAAAGTTTTTTGACTTGTGGCTTAGAGCAGCAGTTCTCAAATCTTCCTGCACATTAGAATCATCCAGGAACTTTTAAAAACCCTAATGCCCAGGCCCATACCACAGAATAATTAAACCAGAATCTCTTGGGGTAAGACCCAAGCATCACGATTTTTTATAAAACTCCTCCTGTACATTCTAATGTACAACCCAGTTGGAGAGCGGGTCGTCTGTGGCCCAGGGCTGCAGACCATTGTAACTGATGCTTGTGCCCCAAGCATGGAGCTTATAAGCCACACATATGAGGCACCCCCCGGTGGAGAAATGGAAGAACGCACAGCTGTGAGTTTCATCCCTCCGCTGCATCTGGGCCTTGGAGAGCCAACCAATAGGAAGAGGGAAGAGTAAAAGGGTGACAGAGATCTCAGGAATAGTAGCTTGTCTGGCTCTGCAGATGGTCCACTCCGCCACCACCGTAGGAATTCTGCCTGCAGAAATGTGCTGGCTGGAATGGGAGTGGGGAGGGAGATGCAGATACTGGCATTCTGGAAATACAGGCAAGAGAATCCTGAAACAAAATAAGGATGTGGGGAGGAAAGGGAAAAGAGTTTAAGTAGGCCCACAGTGAGGGAAACAGAAATCACTTACAGATTAAAGGGACGCTGGATAAATGAATATTATATAAAGACACCATGGATTTCAGGAGAGCGAAAGGAGGACAGAGGGGTGTATCCGTTCCTGCACCCCCAGATGCTTCCCCTGTCTAAACTAATGACGTGATGAAATACGGGCTTTAGGGACTATTTAAACATTCAAAAGGTCCACAGAGAGGTAGAGGAATCTGGGAGTTCTTACAAAGGATTAATTCTCTTCTGAAATGATTAGATTTTGGTTTGGGGCTTCTCCCCAAAGGATGTGGTCAATTAACACCAATTCCTCCCTTTTCCCTCTGACTCTCAAGGTGATGCCGGCTTGGCTCACTGAGCGCTTCCAAGCCTCCAAAGAAACACTTCTCTGGCATAGGGTTCAATTCTGCCCTTCTCTTCCCTTGTAAGGCTTTTGGGCCATTCATCCTGAACACAACAGAAAAGCCAAACCTCAACTGACCTTCTTTCTCCCAAAATCACAGGTTTCACCCTCCCACCTGTTAACTGCCTCAGTCATGTCTGCACCTGCCTCACTGGCCGTGGCTAAACTCTTTTGGCCTGAGACAGAAACACCTAAAATAACCCTCAAAAATGCCATGCAAATGGAAAGTGGGTAAGTGGGACGCCTAATTCATACAAGCTGGGGAGTTGCCTGGGCGGGGGGAGGATCCAAATACAAAGCACAGCAGAAAGTTGATCACTGGAGAGCACAGTGAATCATGGTATTAAGGTGAACTTAATTTCCCAGTGACTATTAGACTTCACGAGACTTCCAAAAAAAAAATCTCTTTTCGATATTTGAAAAGCTTCCTAAATACTTGAATGTCAATACAATTCCTTAACGGTTCATTGTAGATATTTCATTTAAAATACAGTATAGTGTTTATTGAGCCCTGATTTATGACTATTGGAGAGCCATGGGACAACCATTTCTGGAAGTCTCTTATATAATAGGACAATGAAGGTGTGATATAGGTATCTTTAGCCCCTCGTCAATTCATTTTCTTTTGCCCTGTACAAAAGAAAGAAAAAAAGGGTGAAAAAAATGAAGGGGTTTAGGGTAGTCAAAAGAATCTAATTCAATAACAGAATCCATCAATGAGCATGTTGCTGAGATTCATCCCTTGTTTGTATGTAGGTACAGTCAGTGAAAAGCAAGTTGTCAAAGAACGCATGTATGGAATATGTGTGATTCCACTTACAAAGTTAAGCAAATGTGTAAACCTATACAGCATATTATTTAGGCATACACTCATAGAGGAAAAATGAAAAGAAAGGAAATGATAAGCAACTTCTAGGGAGCCAGGTACCTCTGAGACTGAAGAGGATGAGATTAAGGAAGAGGGGGTACTCAAAGGTGACAGTGACATTCCATTTCTTAAATGAGGTGATAGATATTCAGGCCTTCTTTGAATTATTAGTTCTTATACCATGAATATTTTATAAATATTTTCTGCTAGCTACCTTAATATAATTTTTAAAACCTATAATATTTTTATCATTTCCCAAATTTTTCATTATTGATCCTCCCCCAATTAACAGAGTAGCATAACAGTTAGACACCCATATGCCCACCACCTACACTCAGCAGTTATAAGATTTTATTTATTTATTTGACAGAGACAGACACAGCAAGAAAGGGAACACAAGCAGGGGGAGTGGGAGAGGGAGAAGCAGGCTTCCTGCCGCGCAGGGAGCCCGATGCGGGGCTTGATCCCAGGACCCCGGGACCATGACCTGAGCCGAAGGCAGACGCTTAATGACTGAGCCACCCAGGTGCCCCTACACTCAGCAGTTACAAAGGCCATCATGGTTTCATGGAATTTAGGTATTTTGACCAAGGCATGAGCCTGAGAGTTTGTGTCTCTAACCAATGAGCTCTGATTATGCCATTTCTACACCTGTGATGTCCATCCACTGACAACACCTTGATAATTCTGGAATTGTTTTTTTTTTTGATAAAGTGATTCAAGGAACCTCCTAGAAGCCGCAACACAGGGAGCATCCTCATCCATCTCCCTGGTGGCAAACATAGCTGTGAATCTGATTGCCTTCCTGTCCCTGTTGTCTTTTGTGAATGCAGCCCTGTCCTGGCTTGGAAACATGTTTGACTACCCACAACTGAGTTTTGAGGTATAATTCCATCATGTCTCTCCTCATTTTGTTTCTGCCTATCTTTGTTTAAAAATAAAACAGGTTTGTGAATTGCCTTCCCTAATACCTGTAGTATACTTACATGATGCACACACTTATCATGTATTTCCCATCTTCCCACCACTGCCCCTCACCACCCCCCAATCTCCTACCACCCTCCAGGAGAGAATGACTGACCTCACGCCAGGTATCCAGGTTACTTCAAATGATCCAAAGCCAACCTTGACTCCTAATGGATAGAGATGGGCAAGGCAATATGAGGGGATTTCTATGCTTTAAAGGAGACACAGAGGGGTTGGGAAAAATCTTGTCACAAGGGTTAGGCAGAAGAACTGGAAGCAAATCACCACTCTAATAAAGTATCTGTTTTGGGGTTTTGTAGGTAATATGCTCCTACATCTTCATGCCCTTTTCCTTCATGATGGGAGTAGACTGGCAAGACAGCTTTATGGTTGCCAAACTCATAGGCTATAAGACATTTTTCAATGAATTTGTGGCTTATGAACACCTCTCAAAATTGATCAGTTTAAGAAAGGAGGCTGGACCCAAATTTGTGGATGGTGTGCAGCAATATATGTCGGTGAGTAAATACACTGATTTTGGAATACACTTCTTTTTTTTTTTTTTAAAGATTTTATTTATTTATTTGAGAGAGAGAATGAGATAGAGAGAGCATGAGAAGGGGGAGGGTCAGAGGGAGAAGCAGACTCCCCGCCGAGCAGGGAGCCCGATGCGGGACTCGATCCCGGGACTCCAGGATCATGACCTGAGCCGAAGGCAGTGGCTTAACCGACTGAGCCACCCAGGTGCCCCCAGAATACACTTCTTTATCACGTATATACATTCATCAAATAGTCACTGGTGCTTCAGGTGCAGGTGCAGGTCAGGCACTTGGGGATACATCAAAAAACAAAACAGAACAAATATCCCTGATCTCATGGAACCATAGTGAACACAGCACCTCATAATTTCCATTATGTTGAATTAATCTGCGTGCGTGTGTCTGTGTGTGTCAACACAGCTAATCCTTACTCCTGTGATCGTTTACTTTTGAGAGCTGTGGATCCAAAACTAGAGTCCTGTGAGCTGGGACTGGAGTCAGTCAATCAACAAATAGTTGCTACATGGCTTCTACGTGCAATGCAACTATGCCCTGAATGCACAGCCTTGAACAAGTGATGAGGCGGCCTCAGGGGCTCATTGTCTAATAATCTTGAAGGTCTCTTCATTCCAGCTTTAGAAATTCTATGAACTCTGAGAAACTTCCCAAAGGCAAGGTAGTGTCTGGACATCCTAAAGAAATAGGGAGACACAGTTGCTCCTCTCCAAGTGGGTGAGGTGAGAGAAGAGCTTGGGTTATGGTCCGAACTTTTGAGACAAGCATCCTACAACTATCTCAGCACTTCAGGTCAATAGGCTCCAAGGAGATGCTCATGTCTGCTTGGCCTTGAATGGGATAAGGAACTCAGGTGAAGCCAAGACTTAGGTCATATTTTACAGTCAAGTCTCCAGCTTTTCCTTTCCTGAAAAACAGAATTATCACGCACATGGAAACTCTCGGGGAAATGGCGAACATTTCGGACCATCACCATTATTCACTGAAACGAGCCATTTATAATAAATGTTCTAGGCATGTATTTGGCTTTAAAAGGAAAGGGGAGGAAAAGCATGCTGCCCAAGGTTCTAATTAAGATTGCCTACCACTGAACACCACCACCATCTCTCCCAGTCTCCTGAAGACCAAACATGCAAATCTACTCCCACATATTCTACAAAGACTCCAGGAGAGTACTGTTTTGTATTTTATGGTCAGGGGCGTTTGACCCACACATCTGATAACAGAGGCTCTGTAGGGCTCCTGTTTCTCAAATGTTTATTCTTCAACTGGCCATGCGGTGGAGCTTGGCCGAATGTCTTCATTGTTTGGATGCCACCACAAACCAGTTTGCTCCCCTGCCAAAAGTAAACAATGGGCTAAATTAAGTGAATTGTCTTCCATCCCCAACTGCCAGTTGCCAGGAGAAAGTAGTTTTGTTAATGAGCAAAGCAAGCTCACGATCCTGGCAGTGCTGAACAGGTTTGTGAACAGTTATTACGAGAATAGACAGAACAGGAGGGCTGACTTGGGTTGGGGGTGAGCCCAACCAGAGGCAGACCCACAGAGGGTATTTGGAAACAGGAGCCCAAGAGCTTCTGCTACTGTTGAGTCATAATGGCAAAAGCATTTTGTTTTTCCCAATTTCTTATTTCCAGTCGACAAAATGGGGATAAGTCCCTGCAATTTTTGTTTACGAACCAACAAGTGGTGGGGGTGTCACAGCATCTCCCGGAAAAGGCACCACATGACCGAAGCATAAGATCTGGGTCTATGAGGCGAAACCCAGTGTTATCCAGGTCAGAATATGTATGTAGCATGTTGTCCGCAGAATGAGCTCTTCGCTACTCCGTGATCTTTTCTTTCTTAGCATAAAAGTAATACTTTGCATGTTTGTTTATTTACATTTAATGTATACATACCATGGTCCAGAATTCAAAAGGTACAAAAAGGCAAGAGGGAAAAGTAAGTCATCCTCCCTATTTCTCTGCCACTCAGCTCTTTTTCCTGTACCATTATTAAGCTCTTAACCTTACTCTTCGCATGTAATAACACATCTCGGATGCCTTTCCCCATCGGTGTCTGTGAAATAGTATTCTCTGGTATGAACACACCTTTATGTATTTTAACCAGTCTCTTGTTGATGGACACTGTTACCAATTTTCTGCCGTTGGAAGCAGTGCTACGAAGACTGTCTTTATACATACAGCACGTTTGTTCAGGTGCTAGGAGAGCTGTATGATATACTGTTCATCTTCCAGAGCAGTGGAGCTCTTTCCATCATGTAATCTTGCACATGTATGGGAAAAGGCAAAGCAGTATCATTTCAGCCTCCTTTTCCTCTTATTATAAAACCCTACATGGCCACATCTGTGTAATCCCTTCCTGCAGATCCCCAGAAACAGGAAAGACATATCTCAAGTGCTTTGTGCCATCTCCCTCCCCACGGTCTCTTAATAAGCCTGCCTGTTTTTGAAGCCAATTGAACTAAATGAAAAGCACTAGAGAGAGCAGGGAATGAGGATGAGCTTTTCCAGAAACAGCAGACTGCTCAAATACATGAAATTTTTTTTTCCTGCCTGCTATATGCACGCTGATTGAAAATATCAACAAAGGCGTTCTGAGAAAACCATGAAAGAGAAGAGGGGCCTTATAATCAACAAGAAAATTTACCATGGCCACTTGAGTCTTGGATGTGAGCTTTTAAAAAATCCAGTTAGTTGGGGGATAAAAAGGCACCACTACTTTTGAATGTAGTATTTTCCTGGTTTGTTCTTTAAACCAAATCATAGATTTTTCAGGGTTTTGGAAAAGAAAATTATTGCCTCAATTGTGTGGGTGCCTTTGCCAGATTGGGTGAGTTTCTGGTGAACCACAAAGTCTACTGAATCTTCTGAGTGTCCTGTGATCGGTCCCTCAACCTGAGAAAGAATTATCTGGTCTGAGCAACACCTCTTGGCTGTCAGAGTAGAGCCAGAGGGCCATGCTCATCCTTCTACAAATTCACCTCCCATCTTCCTACTGCCCATGAAAGGACTATTACTCATTCTCCCACTGCTAAGCGGACACCTAATACTCCTATGGGATGGTTAGATCTGAGGACCAAAGAAAGGCAAACACACACCACAACCAGAATGAAAGGAACCCTCTGTGATGTCCTATGAGTTTCCTTTTTACTAATATAATGCCTTTTCACTGAAGTATAATTTATGCACAAAAAAGGCCCTTTTTTGGTGTATATACAAGTTGTGACAAATATATCACCTGTGTAACTTCATCCACAGTGAATATATAGAACATGTCTATCACACCTAGAAAATTTCTCTCGTGGCCAGCTGCAGTCAACAGTACCCTTACCCACTCCCTCATTCCCAGACGGCCTGATCTTTCATTCACTATAAATTACTTTTGCTTGTAAAATTTCATGCAAATGGACTCACTTGGCATTCATGTTGTTGCATGCATTAGTTATTTTCCTTCTTACTGCAGAGTAGTATTCTATTTTACAGATATCCATAATTTGTTTATCCATTTGTCTGTCGAAGGACATTTGGGTTGTTTCCAGCTTGTAGCTATTATGAATGTAGCTGCCATAAACACTCATGTACATATGTTTTTATTTCTCCTGGGAAAACTCCAGAGTGTTATTGCTGACTGATACAGCCTGTATCTATTAACTTGATAAGAAACCGCCAAGTATGTTCGTACTTTATAAACAAGCTGTGTCACTTTACATTCCCACCAACAACGTACAAGGATTCCGGTTGCTCCACGGCCTCGTCAACACTTGGTATTGTCCATTTTTTAGCCATTTTCACGGATGTGTAGTGGTATGTTATCGTTTTGATTTGCACTTTCCTGGTGACGAATGATGCTGAACACCTTCTCATGTGCTTGTTGGCCATTTACATGTCTTTTGTGAAATCTCTTTAGCCATTTTTTATTGGGTGTTTGTCTTCTTATTGTTAAATTATAACAGCTCTTTACACATTCGCAATAAGTCCTTTGTCAAACAACTGTAATGTGAGTAGTTTCTGGGACCAATTTGACATCCTCAGTAGGTTAGCACTGTGCCTGGCACGTTACAGCAAGTGGCCATGAATATTAGGAGTTATCATCGGGCAGAAAGTAGCATTTGTAGAGGCTAAGACTACCGATTCCAAATCCTTTGTAGAGAGTCTCCTAATCCACACAGCCCCTTTCCCTCTTTCAAAATTCAAGGGGAACTGGAAAAAAAAAAAAGTCTAGGAAGCAACAGGTGTTTGACACCATGCGCTGCAAACTCACTTGTCAATATTGATTCCATTGTCAGAAAAGGAAGCCTGGTTAGGATGTCAGATTAACTAAGCTGAGTCACACCATGTTTACTTCTGTGTGTTTATGCTTATTTACAGATTCGTTCTGAGACTATTGCCACCTATGCTCTCTGTGGCTTTGCTAATTTCGGTTCCCTAGGAATAGTGATCGGTGGACTCAGTAAGTGAAAAGAATATTCTTCAACAATATATGTGACATAAACATACTTTCGATCTCCATCTTGCTCTGTAACATTATTTGTCAGGGGGAAAAAGGTCCTGTGACAGTAGTAAATTCTTTGGGGTCTATTTTTTATCCCCACTCTACAATATAGTTTTCCTATGTAACCCAAGCTAACCTCAGATGACACATAGGTTTCACTTTGCATGCCAATTCCAGTGGATTTATAATGGCCACGTGGAGAAGGATTCTGAGGCCCAGGGCAAGTGGGAAAATGCTGTGATTAATTAGTGATGTCTGCCACAGGCAAAGAAGTAGATGGTGATGATGAGTTGCGGATGTTTGGATCTCACCTTGAAATCCATTTGCCTTGCTATGCCCTCCAGACACTGTGGTGAAACTTAGAATAAAACGTAGGACTTGCTTCTTCTGTAGAAAATGGAAGCTTCTGGGCCTTCTGGTGTGGACAAATTTCTTCCCCTCCTTCCCCACCAGAGAACTTCTCTGGATGTGGAGCTCATCACAAAGCTCTTGAATCTTGACTTTCCCAGTTAATTTGGAAAAAAAAAAAGAAAGAAAGAAATGTCACACCTGAGACGCCCAGCCCCAGAACAATTCTCAGGGGCTGGGAGTTTGGGATTCCCAATCAATGACCTCAACATTAATCTCCTGTTTCCATGTCTCCCAGCATCCATGGCTCCTTCCAGAAAGCGCGATATCGCCTCAGGGGCAATGAGAGCACTGATCGCGGGGACCGTCGCCTGCTTCATGACAGCCTGCATTGCAGGTACTACATGCCCATCTTTTGTGTCCTGTGTCCTGGAGCCCACAGAATGGCAGCTTTCAGGGGGGCCATGCCTCCACCCTGAAGATGCAGCATCTGCTGCTGCCAGAAGCTGAGATGCAGAGCTGCTGCTGAGCATATTGTAAAGTGAAATGTGCAGAGCATGGTGGAGAAGCTAAAAACAGAAGGAGGGCTCGGTAACGCTGTTAATTAATAACATGGATGGCACTCTATTTCACTTCCAGGGATACTCTCCAGCACCCCCATAGACATCAACTGCCATCACATTTTAGAGAATGCCTTCAACTCCAGTCTACCTGCAAACGCAACTGATGTGGTATCTTGTTGTCAAATTCTATTGAACAGGTATTGTATTCTTGAGTCTGACTTCTTCATATCCATTATTAATAAACAAATTAGGCCTAAAGACCCCATCCACTTATTTTTATAACTTTATAACTCTGTGTTCAAAAATAAGAACTTGTGGGGCGCCTGGGTGGCTCAGTCAGTTGAGCCTCTGACTCTTGATTTCAGCTCAGGTCATGATCTCAAGGTCATAAGATTGAGCCCCTCATCAGGTTGCTTGCTCAACGGGGAGTCTGCTTGACCCTCTCCCTCTGCCCCTCCCCCCACTCACACTCACACACTCTCTCTCAAATATATAAATCAATCTTTTAAAAAGAGAAAAATAAGAACTTGTGCAACAATTCTAAATCACCTTTCAACTTGACTTTTCTCAGCTGAGACTAGGAACTATAATACTAGCAAGTGCTGTGCAAACATTTCTTATGCCACCAGCTTTGTGATACGCCCTTTGCATGAATTTGCTCATTTAAACCTTGAAACCACCGTATAAGTTAAGAACTATTGCTCTTTTTAGTGTTCGATAAAATCGGGCCTTGAGAAGGCTACACCACTGTCCCAAGCAGAATGAACGTAAGCACAATCCAGATACAAAATGGAGGTCTTTCTGCCCAGAGAGTCCATGCCCTTAACTAGTACCCAAGCACTAGGTAGGTGGTACTGTGTCTCTTTCAAGGGCATCAAGCAGTGCGGGCTGTCCTGACGACATGGCAATAGTGATGGTGTTGGGCTACACTGCATGAGGGGCCACCAGTGACCCATACTGGCCACTCCCACGCTGTACAGTTTCTATCCGCAAAATCAATATCCCAACCCCGTTTGCCCTTCTTAATGTGCATGTGTTTTATGAGGATTGATTCTTGGTTTATTCTGGAAGAAAGAGGGGGAGTCCTTGAGGCCAGACAGGATTTGAGAGTCAAAACCAATTCTCTGGAGCCTCTGTCCTTAACCCACCCTAACCTGAAAGTGAGGGAGGAAATCAGCTTCCCACCCTATGCTATTTTTAATGTGTCTCCTCCTGCTCATCTACTGTTTCTGTCTTCTAAGGCTCAACTAACTGTTTTATTCTGCTTTCCACCAGCACTATTGTCAAAGGCCCTGATGAGGTCATCCCAGGAGGAAACCACAGCTTGTCTTCTTTAAGGGGTTGCTGCATGTTATTGTTGCCACCAACACTGAACTGCAGCTGGATCTCTAATGCATTTTGAGTTCAGCTACTTCTCTGATGGAACTCCAGGAACTCTGCTTTGGCAAGAAAAAATAATAATAATAACCACTATTCTTCATGGATGGATATTTCCATCATGGAGTCAACTTTAACTGGAAAGAGGAAAAACAGCAGTGAACCCTTCAAATGTCCAGCATCATCCTCCTCTCCTTCTTTCCTCCCTTCTGTAAACCCTTCCCCACTGAGAACTACTATGATATTTCAAGATGAGCTATTGTCTTCAGTCCCAAAGATGTTTCCTGACCCTAGAATTTTATGAGATTTTACCAGAATGCAGGTCTAAATGATGGCTCACAACAATGGGGTTATGGCTCAGCCACTCCCAGAGTGGCTCACTTCTAAAACATCTCAGGGGAGGTCACTGCATTCACCCTGGCTGACCTGAAGTAGCCAGAACTTGAATCTCACATGGAGAAGCATCAATCATTTATCACCCACTCATTGCCTGCCCTGAGGAAGTCCTACATAAATCAAGAGCCCTTTAGGAGAACATTTAGACCATTCTAAAACCAGGTTTTAAATCCTGTATGTTTAGAGAGTTATACCAGTCATCTTACCCTAAATTTTGCTGCAATAAGAAATAAGCCAAAAACCTTGGTGACTGACAATTTATTTTTCCCTTACACCTTATGCTTATTGAGGGTCAATTTTGGCTGTATTTCATGTTGTCTTCACTTCCAGGACTCATGCGAAAGAAGCAGCCACTATGTGAGGTATGTCGGGAGAGGGGGGAAAAAACGTTGGCTCTCAAAACCTCTGCTAGGAAGGACCCTTCACTTCTACTACATTCCATTACCCAAAGCTAATCATATGATTAGTCCACTGGCAAAACTTTATTTATTTTTTTTTTTTTTTAAAGATTTTATTTATTTGAGAGAGAGAATGAGAGACAGCACAAGAGGGAAGAGGGTCAGAGGGAGAAGCAGACTCCCTGCCGAGCAGGGAGCCCGATGCGGGACTCGATCCCGGGACTCCAGGATCATGACCCGAGCTGAAGGCAGTCGCTTAACCAACTGAGCCACCCAGGCGCCCTGGCAAAACTTTATTTTTTTCAAAAGCTTCATAATAGTCCATGACATATTATGTATATGTATTAATCATTCTTCTAAGGAAAAGCATCCACTTTGGGGGGTTTTGTTTTGGTTTTGGCTACTTTGAACAATACCTGCCCACTTACTTCACACACTAGTGGCTTTATTCTATGGCAGGGCTATCTGACAGAAATACAATGCAAGTCACATGTGATTTAAAATTTTCTAGTCGCCACTTTAAAAAGGTAAAAAGAGGGGCACCTGGGTGGCTCAGTCGTTGGGCATCTGCCTTCGGCTCAGGTCATGATCCCAGGGTCCTGGGATCGAGCCCCACATTGGGCTCCCTGCTCAGCGGGAAGCCTCTCCCACTTCCCCTGCTTGTGTTCCCTCTCTCGCTGTGTCTCTCTCTGTCAAATAAATAAATAAAATCTTTAAAATAAAATAAAATAAAATTAAAAATGTAAAAAGAAACTGGTAAAATTAATTTTAATAATATGTTTGACCCAATATATCCATGAAATTATCATTTCAATGAATTTATATTCTTTTTATTGAACTAAGCCTTTAAAATCTAGTATATATTTCATACTTGGAGCATATCTTAAGACACTACATTTTCATTGGCAATACTTGATCGGTATTTAGATTTCATAAAATGCTGAATGGCTTTGGGTGGCTGAAAGTTTCCCTCCTCCCAGTGAAACCACTTAATGGAGTTTTGGGCACATGATGATGTCTCCACTCTTCTTTAGCAAACATAAAAGCTGGAGGGCCGTTTGCTCCCCTCAGTTTATCCTACACCCACCTACCCACGGTCTTCTGAGGTGTCTGTGTGCTTCCTATATGTTTGTTTAATCGCTGTCTCAGGTCACTCAGTGCTGACAGCATGTTGCTGTGAATCTATGCACCCTGAGCTTGTTTCAAGACAAGGCGGTGACATCTCTTTTGAAGAATTCTGTGCTCTGTCTAGTCTGCCTGGGAAATCTGAAGCCCCCATACTTCTCTCTGTGTCTATCTTCACACCAGTACAGTTTCCACTAGTCTGAAGGACGTTTTTTAAACACAGTATTATGGGTCCAGATATGAATGTTTCCTATTTTTAATCAAGATGAAAGTTTGCTTTGCTGCGTCTTATTCTTTGTTGTTTTCCACTGCCTTGCAAAAATGGCATTTCTGTCACCAATCCAGAAGCAATGGTTATAAACAAATTCTCTGACCCTGCAGAGGCCTTATGGTCTCAGCAAAGAATAGACTGTAGTCCTGGGGTATGGAGAAATTACTTTGATTTTTTTTTTAATTTCATTGGTAAAACCGGCACACCCAAGCAGTTAGATCTGAGTGAGAAGGTCCCTCTAACTATACAGATTACCAACAATCATTCATTTTGCAAGTGCTCCCAAATAATTGTTTTAATATTTCTGTAGTTTAATTAGGCCGGTAGGCCACTGTGAAGAGCTTAAGGTGTGCACTTGCCCAGTGAAGCTGACTTCCAATTACAGAACAATTCCCAAACCAGGCATGCTTATAAAGAAGGTATTGAAGGACACAGTGTGCCAGGAAGGATTAAACTACTCTCCATGTACAGGAGGCAGGGACAGGGGAGGCAATCATTCACATTTTAAACAGGCAGGAGCACAGGACTTAAGAAGAAATGTCTGGTCCAGGTGCATCATACGGCGCTAATGAACCATATGGTCCTGAGAAAAGCTACTTTTTACAACCTGTTACTTAATTTTAAAAATTGCTTTAAGCTCCAGCAGGAAGGAAAGTATACAGGTACCCATTTTTTTTCTGGATCTAAAGACAGCATAAGCTTAGAGTAATTATGTTTCCTTTTCTATTACAAAGGCCATGTGATTGACCTCTGGATGTACAGTGAGTCATATCAACCCCGGTCCTTAGTGGACTAGTTGGCATTTTCATTTCAAGGGACTCTAGAAAGTAAACAATAAATCTGCATCAAGCCAGCCCCTCTTACCCATTATGCCTTTTGCAAAATAGGAGGACAAATTTCTGATAGGAGGGATACAGCCTGTAATCATACAACAGAGAAAAGCATTTAGGGCGCCTGGGTGGCTCAGTTGGTTAAGCGACTGCCTTCGGCTCAGGTCATGATCCTGGAGTCCCGGGATCGAGTCCCGCATCGGGCTCCCTGCTCGGCGGGGAGTCTGCTTCTCCCTCTGACTCTCATGCTCTCTGTCTCTCGTTCTCTCTCTCTCAAATAAATAAATAAAATCTTAAAAAAAAAGAAAAAAGAAAAGCATTTAAATGACAACCTTGGAATATTGTCCTCTGGCAACCACTTTGCCATGAGACACTGGGATTAGGGAAAAATTGATGTCTTGCACCCTATGTTAACATGCAGAATCAGCCCTCCATCTTCCATATGCTGAGCATGCTTCCAGTCATTTCCATAAAATAAGAGAATTGTAGAGTCCTAGGTCATTCAGAAATGCTTCCATCTCCTCTAGACAACCCCACCCCCACCCCAGGCACATAGAGCCACCAAACTCATAGATTACTATGGCTAAAGGCAGAGTTGGGTACAGTATTCCCTGGTCTACTCTGAATCCCTTCCACTGCAGAGTATCTACCTCATTCCATAATTGTTTGTCCCTATGTCTGTCTGACCACTAGACTACTAATTCCTATGTATCTCTAGTACCTAGCACCTGGCATCTAGTACACATTCAGGAAATATTTGTTCAGTCCATGAATAAATGAATATTGCAAAATGGCTCATCTCCACATAAGCAGGAACAGTTAATTGGATCACTGTTAAAAACTTCTTAAAGTCTCATCAAAAATGCATATTCCTAATAAAAATTGCAAGTGATACGCCAGTGTATAACTGAGAAATTGGAAATCTTCCTCCCACCTCTCTTTATGCCCCATAATCAGCCACAGTTAACACTTTGGTGTCGCCGCTAAGTTTTCTCTTTATATAATAAACCACAAAGAGTTATAACGAACCGAAGTGGATGAGTCTTCTTTCAAGCCGGATGCCTGAATCACTTTCACATTCCATTTCTTGGCAACATGGGGCACACGGTTTTGCCTGTCTTTTAACACTGTGTTCTACAATGATTAAAAGACCAAGTTCAGGAGTTTGGCCTTCCTGATACTCTGCACGGCTAGTCTGCAATTTAGTAGTGTGTTCTATGTTGAAGCTAAATGGAATCATTAAAAGCATCCTAATACCCAACATAAATAGGTGTATTTTAAGTAACCAGATTCCTTCTGCTTAAATGAGCAATTGTTCTGCTATTGGATCTGGAAAAGCTCTCACAGAAAATGGAAAACAACAAGCCAGTTGCTACTTCTGATGGGGATGGAAGTATGTTTCAGCAGCTGGGAGTCCAGCTCTGGAGCTGAGCTGCCAGGGTTCAAACCCTGGCCCCAGACGCTAGTTCCCTTACCTTAGAAATTTATATAACTCTCTCTCTGCCTCATTTTCCCCAACTGTAAAATGCAAATAAACCTATCTCCTCCCCCATATTTTTGTAAGAATTAAATGAGTTAAATCATGTAAAGCACTTAAAAGAACACCTCCCTTGGGGTGCCTGGGTGGCTCAGTGTCTTGATTTCAGCTCAGGTCATGGTCTCAGAGTCGTGAGATCGAACCCAGCATCAGGCTCTGTGCTCAGCGGGGAGTCTGCTTGAGATTCTCTCTCTCCCTCTCTCTCCCTCTCCCTCTGCTCTCCCCCACTCACATATGTGCTCTCTCTCTCTCTAATAAATAATTCTTAAAAAAATAAATAAAATGCATAAGAAATGTAAAAAACACATTAAAGTTTGAAAGTCCTGTAGGAAAGCCTGATGAGCATGCAAGGTGAACCCCGATCAGACCATAACAGATTTTGGTTCCAACAGCTTGCAAGGTACAGAAGCATCCATTAGCTGAAATTTTTGTTACTTGGAGCTATAATAAATTTAATCCCATTGATGGGAAAGGTCGGCCAGTTCTTAAAAGCACTTGTGCAAAACAAAGACTCTAATTCTCATTAGAATTCACCCATCAGAATCCAACCTGACCTTTCTGAGAAGGACATCACGAAGAGTTAAGAATTATTTGCTCCCTTTGACCATCCATTCATCAATGTCTGGCCATGGAAACAGGTTATTCAGAAAATGAGGGTTTCTGTGTCTCCTTAAACCAAACAGAAGGAAACAGTAAGTTCTTGGGGACTCAGGAGAGGTCCTCTTGTGGCAATCTCACTTGACTGCTGTTTCCATAGCAACAGACTCCAGCCAGCGTTCTCAAACAAGCATCACGTGCTCCCAGGAAGCTGCAGCTGGACACTCAAGAAAGTTCTTTCTCAAAAGCTGCTGAAGTATTCAGAAAGAATTCAATCAAATTCCACCTGAAATTGGCAGGGGGCTGGTCATCTAGATGACCTGAAAATAAAATTAATTTCTTAAACGTTTTCTCCTCATTCTGAGTAGGAATACCAGGAATATGCTTGGGGGCGGGGGGGGATTTTATTCAGGTTAGAAGTTTTTACAAGTGTCTCTGCTTAGGTGCAGAGCACAGACACTGTCCAGACAGCCATAGTGAGGCACAGGGCAGAGATCCAGAGAGCTTACACATGGGCCTGGAAGGACAAAGCAGAGATTCTGGTTCTGGAGGTAGGTTCCTCTATCAGCCACTGCAGCTAATTGGAAAAGGCACTCACAGGCATTTTTCCTCTATCCCTTCTCATAATAGCTTTCATCAGATACTTTATTGCAAAAGTAATCAATCATATTTGTTTTAGAAAAATATTCATAATCTTAAGAAAAAATAAA